AACTGGTACTTTGGTGAGCGAGCCGTCCTACTTAGTAGAGAGTTTTGTTTAGAGGTTTGCATTCTGTCATTGGACGTTTCGATTATTTATTTTAAAGAGCCTTTTAGCATCAGATTGCCTTTATTTCCCCCTTTCACAAGTTGTATTCTGGTGGAATGACCATCCTGCTCTCCCCGTTTGCTGTTTTTAAAATAGATACGTAAAATTTATTATACTTTCGTGGAAAATGAGCATGTCTTCAGTATTCTGAGCCTGAAAATACCTTTCTTGTCTCATATCCTGAGGGGTACTTTCCACCTGACTTGGGAAAACGGAATTGCGTTGAAATGGGTAGTGCTCTTGGCCAGGCTGTGAAGTTACCCTCGTCCTGAATAGTGAGTATTCATTGAGATGAGACCTTTCCACTTGCTCTGCAGGTTGCTCCTTTTTCAAGCTCCAGAAGCAAACATGTTTAATTCTCTCTCTTTAACGCTATGATGTAGTCTTTAAGAGGTTATAGGTTTTAATACCTGGGAAGTGGCACCGGAGAAGTGGATCTTTTCTGTGTTCTCAACATTAAAGCTTAAGAATTTCTCAGCATTCAGATTAATTTTCACACGTTGTCTTTTATACTTATTTATTTGAAAAGTAGAAAAAACAGAAAAAGATGAGAGAGAGACGTACAAAAAGACAGGGATGTTTTCCACCCACTGGTTCTCTCCAAATGGCCACGAGAGCCTGGAGCTTTCCCCAGGCCTCCCACACTGGTTCACTGGGTCCCAGGTGCTTGGGCCAACCTTGGCTGCTTTTTCTGGTATATTAACAGACAGCTGGATCAGAAATGGAGCAGCTGGCATATGGGATATGTAAATCACTGTGACACCCCCTCAAATTCAGCCTTTTTTGTTTGTTTTACTTGAAAGCCAGAGATATAGAGAGCTCCCATATGCTGGTTCATTCCCCAAATGACTGCAACAGAGCTGAGTCAGGGCAAATTTAGGAGCTTCGGGTCTCCCATAAGGTGCAGTGACCCAGGACTTGTGCCGTCTTCAGCTGCTTTCCTAGGTGCATTAGCAAGAAGCTGGATGGGAAATGGAGCAGCCAGGACTCTTTAAGTGGCACCCATATGGGATCCCAGCATCACAGGCAGTGGCTCAACCCTCTGTGCCACAATGCCAGCCCCCATTTATTTTGTTTTACATTTATTTTATTTGCATGTATTTTAATATCTGGATAAACTATTGCTGGACCAGAGCTTCCGTTGATCTGATTTTCCAGATGTTCACCACTTTCCAGTTTGGTGCGACTGGGAGCCAGGCCTTGGAGCCTCATTGATTTGTAACTGCAGTTTGCACCAAGAAACTGCCTAGATGAGCATCTTGGAGCTGAGTAGGGTTGGGCTCTTTCAAGCAGAGCTTATCACGTTCGTGTGTTGATTTGTTTGAAAGGACAGTACGGGAGAGGCTGAGACGTTGAGGCAGATCTTGTATCTGCTAGAATTTGCAGTAACCAGGGCCAGGCAGGAACCTGCAGCTCCATGCAGATTTCTCACGTGGGGGTGTGTGTCTGAGACCCAAGTACTTAAGTCATCATCTGCTGCTTTCCCACCCATGTTAGTGGAAAACTAGGTTGGAAACAGGTGCAGCTCCATCCCAGGCACTCAGTATGGGACACAGATACCCTAAGTGATGGCTTCATTTGTGGTGCCACAAAACTCACTGTGCAGCCCTTTGTTTTATACTGCTCAGCGTCGAAGACATGCTGAAAACAGTTGTGCTTTGTTTGTTTTTGTTGTTAGAGAGGAGAGGCAGAGGAAGATCTTCCATCTGCTGTTTCACTCCCTAAATGGCTGCAACAGCTGGAGCTGAGCCGATCCAGAGCCAGCAGCCAGTAGCTGCTTCTAGGTCTCCCATATGGGTACAGGGTTCCAAGGACTTGAACCATCCTCCACTGTTTTCCCCGGCTACTGCTGCTCCCCAGGGAGCTGGATGGAAGTGGAGCAGTCAGGACATGAACTGGTGCCCACGTGGGATCCTGGTTTTGGAAGGTGAGCCACAATGCCAGCCCCTGTAAAGTTTTGTAAGAGGTATCACTGTAATCGACACTTTGTTCTACAGAATTAAGGGGAATCACTTTGTTCCTGTAGTTTTAGAGCAACCTGACCACCCAGTCTTGAAGATTTGATCATCTACTTGCTGGAAATGATACTACTGCCTTAGCCCATGGTCAAAATATTAAATTTGTTATCCTGGTTAGTTTCTTGTTTATTGACTTGCTCAGTTGATGGCTCAGCTCAAGGAACAACTGCTTCATAGAAAATCTTAGTATTTCATATACAGAACAATTGCCTCTTATACTCCTCTTTCAGGTGGTGTAATTCGAAGGTCGTTGACCTTCAGAACCTTGTGAGTAGATGCTTTTTCCTGTTTGCCTGAAACTGACAGGTGGGCTTGGGAGGGGGAAGGAGTGAAGTGAGACTTGGAAGCATCCTTAGCAAGTACTTAAATCGCAGAAGTGGTTTTGTGGTGTTGCTGGCAATGAAGATACTAAACAGGTTGGGGCAGGGCGCAACTAGGCTGGCTTTCCTCTGTACCAAACTGGGAAACCTTGGAAGAAAGCATGACCGTATCTGTTAACCTAGGAAGTGTGCTGACATATTCTGCACTGATGATGGGAATATCTAATTTGGGGAATTAGACATCTGTGGGACTGGAAAGGAAATATTCCTAGCACTTGTCAACTCCAAATTGTTCTATTGAAAAGTGAAGATGGGTTGATTTATGTATCTTTAAAATTATAGAGGTGATAGTCGCCCACAGCCACCTTTAGGGGTTTCATGCCAGGATTTACTAGTTTTCACATATAACCCATAAAGTGAAATGTAAGATTGACAAATGGAAAGATTATTGTGTGGCCAATTTCAGACAGCTGGCATTCACAGATCCAGTGTGGCAGACCCTCAGTTCTCTTAAGCTCATTTCCCAACTGTCTGGTTCCTTAACTGTGTTTAAAGAGATAAGTTTGGTTGTTAGGAAGTCTAGGAGTGTCATAGGACCCTTATCAAAGAGAGGGATGTTACTCCAGAATTCATCCTTTGGTTAGACTTCGCATGTGTTGAGTAGCTGGTTGCTAGTGTATCTGAAGCACATATACATGTTCTGTCTAATTCCTCCCCCTCAGAAAACCTACAGAATCCTGCATTATACTCAATTGAGACAGAATTTGGCCTTTCTCCTTTATGTATCTTTAGGTTTCATGCTGCTGTTCTGTGACCACCTCCTTTTGGGCACTACTGTGTGTTGGATTTGTGCACTTCCAGTTAAATCAGATTGTAAAAGTTTGCGGAAATGCTCATACCACCTGTGCTTTTCATGTTAATAAAGCGTACAGATGTGAAGAATGGGTGAATTTTTAGATGCACAGTACAGTGGGACCACATTGTTTCTCAGGACTTACTTCCTGTCCTTGGTTTCTTAGGGCTATTTGACCAAGTAAGAGAAGATTTGGGGAATATGTGTGGTTAAGTGCTTGAGCTTAGAGGCCTAGTGAAGTTAATCATTTGAATTTGAATCTTCTCTTGTTGATCTCTGTATGTCCCCATGTGCTCATTTTAAAATAGGGTTAGCAAACCCTGTTTTATATGGTTGCTGTGAGGATTAATTAAGGTCGCTTCACCAATGCATCTCCATGTGACGTTTTTGACCAGCATGTCCTGGCATTTCTTAATATATGTACAAAACTGATTGAAGTAAGACTTGTGTTCTGCTTCATACATGGCTAGTTAATATTCATGCGACTAGAGACAGCTCACTTACCGTTGGTAAATCTTTATTGTTAGACTAGGAATAATGCTCATTATACTAGCCTCACCTGTTGTGTCCTCTGCCTAGGCTTGTCTTTCTCTGTTCTCCTACCTCCTGTTTATGTCAGGGAGCTCCTCATCTTGCCTTTTACACCCCCAGTCCCATCTGTTGTTAAAAGGTGCTTGCGTTGGGGAGTCACACTTTTTGGGGAGTCAATTTCCTTGTTAGAGCATATTTCATAGAGATGATTTATGGGGCTGGTGTTGTCCAGTGAGTTGAGCTGCCACCTGTGATGCCAACATCCCATATGTGGGCTGGTTTGTGTCCTGTCTTGTTCATAGCTGATGCAGCTCTCTGATAATGGCTTGAAAAGGCAGTGTGAGATGGCCCAAGTGCTGGGCCTCTGCCCCTAGAGCTCCTGGCCCAGCCTGGGTTGTTGGAGTGAACCAGTGGGTGGAAGATCTTTCTCTCTCTTTCTGACTTTAAAATAATTGTCTAAAAATATGTTTATTTCCTCTAGATTGAACTTTTCCAGAGTAGTATTTGTTTTTGCTCTTTTTTTTCTTTTTGACTTTGCCAGTGTCAACAAGATGCCTGCACTAGAGAAATCCTTTAGGTAATGCTTATTTGGGACCTGTTGTAGTGGTAGTGAGTTAAGCTGTCTCCTGCAATGCTCACATTCCGTGTGGGTGCCAGTTGCAGTCTGGCTACTGCACTTCAAATCCAGCTCCCTGTTAATGTACTTGGGAAAGTACTTGGGCCAAACGCTTGGTACCTACCTCCTCGTGGGAGATAGCATTGAAGCTGCTGGCTTTGGCCTGGCCTGGCCTAAGCGATTGTGGGCATTTGGGTAGTGAGTCTCTGTCTGTCCCTCAATTCTGCCTTTCCAATAAATATAATAATACATCTTTAGATTTATTTATTTTTATTGGAAAGGCAGAGAGAAAGATCTTCCAGCTGTTAGTTCACTCTCAAGAGGCTGCAATGGCTGTAGCTGAGGCAGTCTGGAGCCAGGAGCTTGTTTTGGGCTCCCACCTGGGTGCAGGGTTCCAAGGTTTTGGGACATCCTCCACTGCTTTTCCAGGCCACAAGCAGGAAGCTGGATGGGAAGAGAGGCAGCCGGGACACCAACTAGCACCTATGGGATTTCAGTGCATGCAAGGGCTATGAGATTCCCACTAGGCTGCTGTGCTGGGACCGGTAATACATCTTAAAAAAAGAAAGAAAGAAAGAAAATACGCTTTTTCATAGTGTTATCCTGAGAATGATTTTTGAGATGCTAGACATGAAAGTGTTTTGTAAATTATACAGCTGAACAATCGAGAAGGTGTTACTATTATGAAAACTATATGGGTCTATGTTGTGAAGTTAGTCCCTTTTAAAATCGTAGTGGCTGCTGAACTTAGGTTTGAACTGATGCCAAAAGGTTACCTCATTTGGAAAATTGTTAGATTTTCTAAATGCTCTGATTGCTTATTATTAGGACATTTGAATATTGTTATAGGATTGTATTTATGAAAATTGTTATTGCTAATTGGTCCTGGAACCTGAAAAAGGAAATCTCATGATCATACTTTAAGTGTTTTTATTTGGCATGGAAAGTTTGAATTTTTTTTGAGCAAGTATAAATCAAATAAATTATTGGCTATTCAATAGAGTTGAGAGGAAGTAATTATAAAAGGGCTTTTTTGCTAAGGAGTCATTATTGTCAGGAATTTGAAATGAAATGATGAGTTATTTAGGTTAGAGGAAGAAGCTGTCTTTCAGAGAGAGAGAAACTGGAGAGAAAAGGGTTCTTTGTAAAAGTTCCCAGGGCTGTCTGCTAAGGGTTTGTTGGACAGAAAAAGGAGATAAACCTCAAATGAGTTCATGGCATTGGTTTGACTTAAACCTAGAACTCTATGAATAGACTCCTAAGTAACTGTGAATTAACGCTGTTAGAATAAAACCATGTTGTTTATCTTCTAATCCTGTTTCCTTGTCTTTTATGAAATTATTTGACAGTAATATCTGATGGTATGTTTTATCTGCTAATAAAGTTCTTTCCTCTTTTGAGAGTTGCTAACAGAATCTTTGTGTAGTCATGAACTAGTGTAAGTTAAAATGTTTACATTAAGATAATTTTGACATACTTTTAGCTTTGTATGTCACTTCAATCACTAAAATGACTACCTAATAAAGTTACAACAGTACTCCTACAAAGACCAGTGAAATGGAATTGTCTGTGGGTTTGGTTCTAATAATGTCATTACTGACAGAATAGATACATTCTTTTTCTTTTTTTATGCAACAAGTTTATCTTATTTCTGATGATGTTTACATAGTTGAGAAGAATGCATGCCCATGTGGAAAACCAACTAGGGTGGTAAGGGTTGAGGAACTGAGGAAGTGGATGAGACGACCGTTTCCAACCTTTCTTTCCTTCTTCCTGTATTTGGCAGAAGTGGGAAGAGAAAAGGAGCGGGCTGCTCCCAGCAGCCTAACCGCCTCAGTACCCGAAGGTGAGGGTCGGCCACTTGACGTCAGTCCTAGGGGCCCCAATGTGGAACGTGTTCTGAGGGCACTGCTTAGGGTGCTTGAACCTTGTGGAACTCCTGTCTCCTTATAAAATGAGCGGCCTTTAAATTTCTCGTGCTTTAATTACTGCTTTTTATCTTGGACCATTTATTTTTAGATAGCATATCAAATGTTTTTATTTTACTGCTTATATGTATTTAGTGCTTAAGATTCATAATTTTAAAAAAAAGTTCTTTCAGTGATTCTGGTATACCTTTCCAATAAATAATCTTTTTTTTTTCCTTTAAGATTTGTTATTTTTATTGGAAAGTCAGATATACAGAGAGGAGAAGAAACAAAAAGGAGGAGAGACAGAGGAAGGTCTTCCGTCTGCTGATTCACTCCCCAAGAAGCTGCAGTAGCCAGAGCTGAGCTGATCTGAAGCCAGGAGCCAGGAGCCAGGAGCTTCTTCTAGGTCTCCCACATGGGTGCAGGGTCTCAAGGCTCTGAGCCATCCTCTTCTGCTTTCCCAGGCCACAAGCAGGGAGCTGGATGGGAAGCAGGGCTGCCAGGATTAGATTCGGCACTCATTTAGGATCCCTGTGTGTGCCAAGGTGAGAACTTCAGCCACTAGACTACTGTTCTGGGCCCCAATAAATAATCTTTTGAAACAAAGTTCTAATGTCTGGCTCTACCACAGACCTACTGAAATTAAGATTTCTGGGGTCCCTCTGGATATCTGAAAGCTTAAAAAAGTTCCATTAAGGGAACTAAGCAGCTGGCTTTTGCTAATTGAGCATTCCTACTGTAGTCAATATATGACTGCATAGCACAGTAGGCTACTATGCATGATCATTTAAAAGGTACTGAAGAACTAAACAAAGTTTGTTTTCACAGAGAGGGTTCTCTCTCTCTCTCTCTCTCTCTCTTTTTTTTTTTTTTTTGGTAAGATTTATTTATTTGAATGGCAGGGTGACAGACACACACGGAGACAAGAGAGAGGAGGAGAAAGGAGGGAGGGAGAAAACATGAGTGAACAAGCTAGCTAGCTATCTAGCTAACTTCCATTTGCTGGTTCAATCCCCAAATGGCCACAGTAGCTGGGGCTAGGCCATGGTGAAACCAGAATTCAGGAACTCTTGTCTTGGTTTCCTACATGGGAGGCGGGATGGGCCACTTTGCATTGCTTTCTTGAATAGGTTAGCAGGGTCTACATCAGAAGCTGCAGATGGGGCTCAAACCAGCACTCTGATATTGGATGATGGTGCTGCAAGTGTTTCTGGTTTTTTTTGTTTGCTTGTTTTTAAGATTTATTGATTTTTATTGAAAAGTCAGACTTTACAGAGAGAGGGAGAGAAAGATCTTCTGTCTGCTGATTCACTCCCCAAGCGGCCACAATGGCCAAAGCTGAGCCATTCTGAAGCTAGAAGCCTCCTCCAGGTCTCCCACATGAGTGCAGGGTCCCAAGGCCTTAGACCATCCTCCATTGCTCTCCCAGGCTGCAAGCAGGGAGCTGGGTGGGAAATGGGAGCTGGGACATGAACTGGCACCCATATGGGATCCTGGTACATGTAAGGTGAGGACTTTAGCTACTTGGCTACCTACCGCACCGGGGCCAGTGTTGCAAGTGCTTTAACCTGTTGTGCTGCAGCTCCAGATCCGGGTTCTTATTTTAATTTAAAAAATGTTTTTTGAAAAAGTTTATGTGAGGGCAGCAGAAACAGAGTGCACACTCATTTTCTCGTTCACTCGCCCAAATGACTGCCTATCACAGCTTGGGCTAACGAGGACCGGACCCAAGAACATGGTCCAAGTCTACCCACAACCAGCTGCTCTGATGTGGGATGCAACTGTTTTAACTGCTAGGCTAGGTTTTGCTTTGTTTACATTTATATCAAAAAATATTTTGTTTGTTTGGGAGGTAAGTGAATGTGTGCATTCACACAGCCCCCATCTGCTAGATCACCCACAAGACCTGAAGTGACTGGAACTGGCCAGAGCAAAGCTAGATGATAAGAACTCAGTCTGGGTCTCCTGCATGGTGACTGGAACCCAGTTCCTTGAGCCGTCATGGCCGCTTCATAAGAGCCAGAGCCCAGCACCAAATCCAAGCACTCTGATGTGGGATTTGGCCATCTGAAATACTAGGCCAATGAGCTGCCCATTGCTTGTGGTGTTTACAAAGATTTACGAGTTGATCATTAAAATTGTTAAGATATTTCTTTATTTTTATTTGAAAGGCAGAGTTATAGAGAGAAGGAGAGATTATCCTCCCTGGTTCACTCCCCAGATGCTGCAGGGGCAAGAGCTGAGCCGATCCAAGCCTTTTCTGAGTCTCCTACATAGATGCAGAGGCTGGAGAGACCTGAGCCATCCTGTGCTACTTTCTTAGGCTACAAGCAGTGAGCTGGATCTGAAGTGGAGCTGCTGCAGCACAAATCAACGCCCATACGGGATGCCAGACCTAGCAGATGGATATTAGCCTATTTAGCCAAAGCACCAGCACCAGATCATAAAACCTCCACACAGAGTTCAAATGTTACAAACTGCATATGATGGAAATGTTTCGTTCTAATATCTCCTTGGCTGTTCTTTCTCCAGAAGCAGGGATGATCAGTTTGAATCCTTACAGAATCTTCCGGCTTGCTTACTTGAAGGAACAGTTACAGAGGGGTGTGAATCAGAGTATTTCAGGCTGTGGGTTAACTCCCTGTGCTACAATGTAGCTGCCCACCCCCTCCGCCCAGTCTTCAAACCTTTAATGCATAATTGTGTACAAATTTATGGTTTTTTTTCCCACCAAACTATGAAGTATATACATGATTTTGCGTCTCCTTTTTACACTGATACATGCTTAAAGTTTTTTTTTTTTAATCTATGTCTCTGGGAACTGGCATTGTGGCCAGCTGATAAAGCTGCTGCCTGTAACACCAGCATCCTATCATGACACTAGTTGATGTCCTGGCTGCTCCATTTTCAATCCAACTCCCTGCTGAGGGTCTGGGAAAAACAGTGGATGATGACCCAAGTGCTTGGGTCCTTGACATCTATGTGGGAGACCAAGATGAAGTTCCTGGCTTTGGCCTGTCCCCAAACTGGCTGTTTAGCCTGTCTGGAGAGTGAACTGGTGGCTGAAAGTCTTTCTCTGTCCTCTAATTCTTGTCATTCAAATAAACAAGTATTTTTCTTTTTTAAAGTAGAGCCACCTGTTTTTTTTTTTTTAACAGTTATGCAATAGTTCATTATTTGGATATACCAGTTTATTTAGCCAGTCCCTTACTGTTTGATGTTTAGATCGCTTTCTGTCTTTGTTATTAAATATTATTGAGGTGAATATCCTTATATGTTTGTAATTTTTAATATGAGCCCCTATGTCTCTTTGCTGTCTAAATTCCTAGATGTTAGACTGATGAATCGAAGGGTGTATGCATTTTTATTTTTGCAAAGATAATGACAAATTTTCCTTTCTTAGAAACTGTAACAATTTATGCTCCTATCAGCAATGTATAAATGCCTATTGCTGTACACCCACATAGTGTGTATTTTAAACTTCATGTTCTTTATTAGTCTGTCAGAGGAAAAGGAACATTTAATTTGTAGTTTTAATTTACACTTTTAAGTGAGAGAAGATCTCTTCATATTTTTAGGATCCATTTTTTTTACTTCCAGTGGTTGTGAATTTCTCAGCTTATTTCTTTTGTCAGTCTTATTGATTTGTGAAAATGCTTTATGCAATAAGGAAGATAACTTTTATCTTAGCAGAAAAAATTAAAAAAATTATGGTCTGAGTTTATTCTTTATTTTATTTTATTTTTATTGGAAAGTTGGATTTACAGAAAAGAAAAGACAGAGAGGAAGATCTTTGGTCTGATGGTTCACTTCCCAAGCGGCTACAATGGCCGGTCCTGAGCCGGTCTGAAATCAGAAGCCAGGAGCTTCTTTCCGGTTTTCCATGCAGGTGCAGAGTCACAAGGCCTTGGGCCGTCCTCAACTGCTTTCCCAGGCCACAAATGGGGAGCTGGATGGGAAGTGGAGCAGCCACACATCAACCGGTGCCCATATGGGACCCCGGCATATGTAAGGCTAAGCTACTGTGCTAGGCCCCTGAATTTGTTCTTGAGGAGTTGATTGGGAGATCCAGTGAGGTAAATTAGTTGTTTCTATTTACTTGTTTACTATTAGAATAAAGATGGAGAAATAACTTTCTTTTTTTAAGACTTATTTATTTTTATTGCAAAGTCAGATATACAGAGAGGAGAGACAGGGAGGAAGATCTTCCATTTGATGATTCATTCCCCAAGTGGAAGCAACAGCTGAAGCTGAGTCAATCCAAAGCCAGGAACCCGGAGCTTCTTCTGGTTCTCCCATGTGGGTGCAGGGTTCCAAGGCTTTGACCATTCTCGACTGTTTTCCCAGGCCACAGGCAGGGAGCTGGATGAGAAGCAGGGCCGCTGGGACACAAATCGGTGTCCATATGGGATCCTAGTGCAAGCAAGGCCAGGACTAGCTGCTAGGCCTACCCAGCCTGAAATAACTTACTTGAGCAAAGGTCAGTTAAGACTTATAAATGACTTAAAAGATCATGATAGGTTGGAAGAAACTGCAGCATACCCTTTACACAAAGAAAACGCATCTGTAAGTTACTTACTCTGTATAAGGCACTGGTTTCAAGCACTTCCTGCATATTTGCTAACCTAATGTGAGTGTCAGTATTATCCCCATTTTTACTGAATGAGGGAGCAGACAGTACAGCTAAGTGATTTTCCGAAAGTCTGACAGCTAGGAATGGTAGAAATGTCCTTCATACTGGGCAGAGCTGTAGGGTTTTTCCTTTTTTTCTTGTCCTGGTTCACTGTACTATATTTCTACTAATGTACAGAATATGTGAAATGAAAGAGTCCATTTGAAAAATCAAGAGTATGATTAGTTATGTCACATGAAATTTGAATGTCTAATAAACGTGGAAATATTAGTAAAGTTAAAACTATTCAAGGAAGCAAATATT